GCTGCTGGATAACTTCTCCTAGAGCATATATGCTGCTGGATAACTTCTCCTAGAGCATATATGCTGCTGGATAACTTCTCCTAGAGCATATATGCAGTTCCCGGTATATTTCTCATCTGCTTAATTTTGGCTTACTTATGGGATGGGGGTTTGGAGTAATTTTGTATATATAGAAGCATTTTTTAAGGCAGGTAATGAATCATTTTGGGTGCCTGTAGTATTTGTGATTTTTTCCAAAAATAACACTTTGTTGTTGTTGTTGTTACGTGCCATCAAGTGGGTTCTGACCCATAGCAACTTTGTATAGGGTTTCATAGGAGCGACTGATGAGCTTCAATTGCCAACCTTGCAGTTCAAATGGCTTTGCCGTCTAAGTGCTGTCGAATAGGTTTTCACTCCTAGTGACCCTGTTTAGGGTTGTTGATGATGCCAACCTTGCGGTAAACAGTCCAGTGTAGTGTTTATACTACAGTGCCACACCAAAACACCCACTGTAGAGTCTATTCCAACTCATAGGGGTTTCCAAGGCTGTAAATCTTTATAGGAGCTGACAGACACATCCGTCTTTCTCTGGAGTGTCTGCTTTCCTTTGGTTCGCAATCTAACACCCAATTATGTCACCAGGCTCTTTTATAACTTCTTACATCCATCCACTGCCATTAAGTCAGTTTAGAGTCATCGCAACCTCATACAGGATTTCTGAGACTGCAAATCTTTACTTTTCTTCCATAGAGCAACTGGGGGTTTAGAAACACGACCTTGTGGTGAGCAGGCCAAGGCCTAATCTACAACTGCTGCTGTTTTTAAGTGCTGTCGAATCAGTTTTGACTCAGAGCAACCCTGTGTTGGGTTTCTGAGGAGCTGTTTATTGGTAGATTTGAACCACCAACCTTGTGATTAGCACTCCAGTGCTTATCTTGTTGTTGTTAAGTGTTGTCAAGTTGGTTTCGACTCATTTCAACCCTGTATAAGGTTTCTGAGGAGCGGCTGGTGAGCTTGAACTTGACCTTGCAGTTAAAACCAAACTTGCAGTCCAGCGTATTAACCTGCAGCACCACACCAGGACTCCAGTGCTTATCCTCGTGGTGGTGTGCCGTGGAGTTGGTTCCGACTCATAGCGACCCTCTACAGGGTTTCTGAGGCTGTAAATCTTTACGGGAGCAGAAAGCCTCATCTTTATCCCACGGAACAGCTGGTAGTTTTGAACTGCTGACCCTGAGGTTAGCAGCCCAATTCGTAACCATTACGCTACCAGAGCTCCTTAACCACTACACTACTGCGCCACAATTAAAGCTTTCAATCTGTTAACTCTGCAGATTAACACTGGTGATTACAGTGTTACAATGGGACATATTTCCTTCCCCATGAAAAGGAATAAGTTACTATAAATAAATGGAAAAAAACCCACTAGAATAGCATGGCATATTTTTCATGAATATGAAACTCTGAAAGCCTGCAACTCTAAGGTCTGGTTTCTTTTATGTTAGCATTTTAAAAAGTAACATACCCAGAGGCTCTGTCCAGAACTTTTCAGTTGCCAACTAGGTTGCAACATTCTGCTGACTACACCAGATTATAACCGACTGTCTTCTCAAAACGAAATTAATGAAGTTCTGTGACGTGAATCCACTCCTATCCCTGACTGCTTTCCCTTTTTATTATTACAGCAGTTAATGTCCTGGCTAATTTTTTGCAGCCATCCTTTGAAAGAGCTGTGGTGTGGCGCTGTGGGTTAATGCATTAGACTACAAAGTCTGTATGAACCACAAGGTCTGTGGTTCAAGCTCACCAGTCGCTCCTTGGAAGCTCTATACAGGGCTGCTATGGGTCGGAACCGACTCGATGGCAGTTAACAACAACAACCATCCTGTGAAAACAATCATCCAGTTAATGAAATGCCTCCAACCTCTTCTCCAGGCTGCAAGGCACGGTTTCTCTAAGATCCTGTCTTTGTTTTATGCCAGCGACTTGATTCTGCCTCATGATAATCCAATGTGTTACAGAGAAGAACTCTAGCTCCGTAGTGTTTCCCGACTGTTGCCTGATCTTATCTTCCACAGTGCTGCATGGTGGGTTCAAATCAACCTTTCAGTTACCATCGGTGTACCAACCCTTGACTCCACCTTGGGCCTTAGCTAACTTCCTGGTGGTGGTGTGCCGTGGAGTTGGTTTTGACTCATAGCAATCCTGTACAAGGTTTCCGAGGCTGTAAATCTTTAAGGGAGTAGAAAGCCTCATTTTTCTCCTGCGGAACAGCTGGTAGTTTTGAACTGCTGACCTTGCGGTTTGCAGCCCGATTCGTAACCAACATGCTACTAGAGCTCTCTAGCTAACTCCCTAACAGTCAGCATTTCATGATGTTAATGTGCAAGCAAACGAAATCAAACAACAACACTTGTTAATAGACTCTGGTAGAGAACAAAGCCGCTCTTTTATTTCATTTGTAATTGGCTGGCCTTTGCTGGTGCATTTGGCTAACAGGAGGATAATACAGTATTGGCACATGGGTACCCCAGGTAGTTAGTGGCTGTCTTGAGTTGTACACTTTTACCACATGTCATAATATTTCTGGAACAGGCATGAAACTACTGCCTTTTCCTGCCTCAGAGGGTACAAGGAAGCAGTTTAATTTTGGCTGGACAGTTTTCTTCTTTGGCACCAAGGACATGATTACCAGAGAATTTTATAATACTGCGGATGTGATGTCCCAGATACCTTGTCAGGTTCCCAAAGGGAGCGACTCATTTCCTGGTTGCTGAGACGGCTGTGTTCTTGTTCAGGAATGACAAGTGTGAACTTAGTGAGGTTCTGGTGAGCGGTGGGGACTGGCTAAGCAACCTTTGCCGCATTCCTGACCTTCTGTGTACACTGCTCAGGGCAACTGTGTTGAGAGTCAACAATGACCCACCTCACCTGGGTGCCTGATTCCTCATGAGCTATGGGCTTGGGGGCACTAGGAGACTCAGGCAAAGATGTGAGCAGATGCCTTTCCAGTAATCCCTAATGGAAATGCAAACGTTTAATTTTTAGGAACTCAGCTTAGTTTACTTCCGTCATCTTGCTCTTAAACTTTCTATCCGTTCTGCAGACATATGACTTAAGATTTCTTAGTTCTAGATTTCATATCTAAAGCAGAAGGATGAGGACAAATAGAGGATGGAAATTTTAAAAATAAGTTTATTGTGGTGAAATATATACTGTCAACTCTGAGTTTGCTGAACATAACCAGGAATATCTAGTTTCCCTCCTCTTTTTTTTGCCTCCCCCCACTGCACTCCTTCTGTAGTTTTGATTTTTAAAAGTACTCTTGTGAATTTGACCTCCTTTCAAAGCCACAACTACCTCAAGAGGGTATCAATGGGTTCTTCATCCTGGGATCTGAAACACTAGGGTTTTGTGTTTTTTTTTTTTTTAAGTCATTGAAGTGGTCAAAGTAGTTTTTCCAAGGCTCAAAGGAGCAGAAAGTGATGTTTACCTAGTAAGGAGCTCTGGCAGCGTAGTGGTTACGAATTGGCCTGAGAACCACAAGGTCAGCAGTTTGAAACTACCAGCTGTTCTGCCTGAGAAAGCTGAGGCTTTCTGTTCCTGTAAAGATTTACAGCCTTGGAAACCCTGTACAGGGTCACTATGAGTCGGAACTGACTCCATGGCACATAACAACAACAACAACAACAACAACAACCTAGCTTGGTAGGAGTCCTGGTGTGGCGCTGTGAGTTAATGCCCCAGACTGCAAAGTTGTTTGAACCAGAAGGCCAGGGGTTCCAGCTCACCAGTCGCTCCCGGGAAACCCTACACAGAGTGGCTATGGGTCGGAACAAACTCGATGGCACTTAACAACAAGAACAACAACATAGCTTGGTAAGGAGTCCTGGTGTAACACTGTAGGATAAGCACTGCAAGGTCAGCAGTTCAAACTCACCAGCCGCTCCTTGGAAACCCTATATGGTGTCGCTGTGACCGGAATTGACTAGACGACATTTGACAACAACAGCATAGCTTGGGAAAGTGGAGGGTCAGTGAGAAAGAGGATGGTTTCCAGCAAGAAGGACGGATAGATACAGAGACA